GGTTTTTAGGATTTGGGGTTTAGGGGCAGGCTTCTTGCTTAAGGCTGAAACACACCTAGGAACTGCTGCAACGACTTCCGAGCTGGTTCATGGCAATGATACCACAAACCTTGGCTAAACCGCAAATCCCCAAACCCCCAACCCCCTAAACCCCTAAACCCCTAAACCCCTAAACCCTACATCTTTGGTGTCATACTATAGAGCCGAATTCTGTGATTATTCTTCACATAGGTCAAGGCATGCCTGAGCTGCATTCCCCGTAGAACCAGTTCTCTTGCAAGCGAGCTAGCTTTTTTTCCTAGGGTTTAGGGTTTAGGGTTTTTTTTGTTTTTAAGGCCCCTTTTCATCCGCATGATCAAACATACAGAAGAATCCCCATTCGGGGAGAGCAAGGAACAGTGAGGTGTTGTTACACTGCTCCACCTTAGAAAACCGGCTTCCGACATCACTTGCGACTCTCAGGCTCACTCAGTGCGGCAGTTCGTCAACAGTCACCCTTACTCCTCATCCGTGGAGATGCCCTCAAGAGCTCTCTCGACCAGGTCGCCCAGGTTCCTGGATACCAAGTCCTCAAACTGCTCCATGCTAACATATCCCTCGGCCACGTTTCGATAATCGCAGCGCGTTGAGGCAATTGTCCCGCTGCCGTTGGGATTCTGTATTCACTCCAAACCGCTTGCCTACCAATGTTTGGCATAGTCTCAATGACCAGGAAACCATTCGTATCAAGTGGAACTTGAATCACACCTGTCTGAAGGATAACCCCCGAATCATGAAATGAGATCTGAAGCCGCAACATGTTTGCAAATTGCGGTGGTACCAACGCAGCGCCCCCAGCTGCCTCGCGCAGTGCTGCTGCCACAAAAGCAGCGAATGATTTCACACCATTCCTGGCTGCAGATGAGGGATCATCTTCCTCAACTTCGATTTGCACATTCTCCACATCTCTCACCGCTGCCCATGATCTCCCGATGACTTGAGGAGTCACCAGCGACCAAGAAATGTGATCGCATTCCTGTTTGCATAGCTCTTGAGTCGCGACCCGATATGGTTCCAGCAATCCAGGAACCATCTTGAAGGCACATTTTTCCATGGCCCCTTGACTTGGTAAGATTGAATCACGAAAACCAGTGAGACAACCAGTCCTGGCATTTGCGGGAAAATCTATCTCTGAAGCATCAGCGCCAATGAACATGCGCTGCATAACAGGATCATCCTCAGCCATCAAAGCCAAAAAGATTGTCCTGTTTGCTAAGAAACCATGCTGGATCGTTGGCATCGTATGCACATCGTTGATCCCCACAGGTACACGCTGCCATAGCTGTGACATCTGTGAGAACAATGCGCCTGGATTGTCAATTTGAGTTCCAGCTGGGAGGTAATTGCCGTCAAAGGCGCTGCTTATAGTCGTCGCAGCATCCGCCAACCATGACATTTTGCTGGCAAATTGTCCTGCATCCAAATTGACCAGCGTAGCTGTTAACCTCCCAAGGTCTGCTGGCTGTTCCTTACTGAAGACACCGCCAAAGACCTGGTTTATAGTGTCGAGATACACTCGTGGAGATATGAATCCACCATGTGCAGGGTCGAGATCAGCACCCAAGTTCCATGTAGCTGCCGCTGCATCAGGATAGGCTCCACCAAGATCCTGCGCAACTGCTGCGTTCGCTGAACTTGAAGTCCTCTTCCCAAAGCAAGTCGTAATGGCATCACAAAACCCTTGAGCGATGCCTGCCACATCTGGCAGTATCGCCGATAGGTCGTCAATCAGTCGGTAGATTTCGTCTGATCCTGGCATAGTATCCAGATTCAGAGGATAAGCAGCCATGGTCCTCCCCAAAAGAAGTACACAGCGCGGCCTACCACGATAAGCACGTGTGCCATGTAATGCAAATTGGCCACCTGGGCCCTGCTGCCCCCATGGGCAGAAATTGTTCCCCAGAATTCCGACAAGAATGCGAACGCCACGCGCACTCAACCGTGAACCTAGATCATCAATCACCAAGATGTCTTCTGACCTTACAGGTCCAGGATGGTTAGCTAGGTCGAGTGGAAGATTTGCTGGTGCGTTTGCCACAGGCCCACCACCAAATACCCAACGAGCAGCGGTCAAATCGTTGCCTATCACACCAGGTGCAGGGGCTCCGAACATTGCAGCCAATTGACCTGGAGCGATCAACCCCGGGCTTAGGAAGGGTATACTGGGCCAGCCACCTGCTGGACTGTCTGTAAATCTCCTTGCTCCAGCCGCATCCAAGACGTCAAAACCACCAAGAGATTCGATGATCTGAGCAGTGAATGCTGCCGTGAACAGTTTCGTCCATATACTGGTTGAGTAAACTGAAGTACAGACCAGTCCAGTTTGAGCTGGCAATGATGCATTGAGTGCGCCTGGATTCCAC